ATATACGTACAGCGAATATTGGTCCATTAAACAATTTCAAAGATAGTGTATAGTGATATCGATATACAAATATTCGTATATTGCCAGACGGAGGGAAACCAATCAGGACTCCCTTCCATATTACAAATTATCCAGAATCCCCGTAATATACATAGTTTTTAATTCATTCTCCTGCTTAACGCAATTCCTTTGTATGGTGCGACCTTGCCACTCTTATTAGTTATTCCGCTTTGTAATATTTTATTTATAGGTGATATTTTGTTTATGTAGGTATTCGATAGATCCCTATAGTCTGTTTTTTTCGCAGGAGAAAAATAACAGATGTTTATTAGATTCGTTTAGCACGAATAATACATTTATGATTCTGGTTCAGATTAGATTTAATTTTAGTCACTTAAGTTTCGTATATTGTTCAAAATAATGAAATAAATCCACAGAATGTGCAGTTACGAAAAATACGCAATATCATTTTTGTCTCCGGCGAAAAAAAACCAGATAGATATCATGATTAATTTACCAACTAGTTATTCGTTTAGTAAATACGAAAAAATATCTAGGATTGCCCAGCCGTGATACATTATAGATTGACCATATTATTATTTATTTTACTATTGTAAATAAGTACTAATTGTAGATATTGACGGGTTTAATAGAAGTTCGTTTTCTTATATTGTGACTTATAACCTAATATGACCTTGGGAAGAAACTCATTTTAATATAAGGTTTTACTGCATTAACTGCCAATGGGTTGTTTACTTGACCGTATTGAGTTTTGGTGCTCTACTGCGAGTTTACTTTTTATGATCACTATCTTAAGGATGAGTGCGAACTATTTACCTAATCTGTACAAAATTACTCTCTATTTAACTAGATTCATTTTTGTGAAAGGCTATTTTTGTTAAATTATGATATTATGTTTGGTTTTGCAGTTACTTGAAATACTATTTGTTTGCGTTTGTTGTTATAAATATTGGGAGCTATATTACTAAAAAGATGCATATCGTGCTCTAATTGGCGTCCGTATTGTGACCTACGCACATTGAGAACTTTCCACGCATAACCGCTCTTTTGGTTCTTGCAACAACAGTTGCAAAAACAGAATCCTTAACTTTGCTCTTTGCAACTGTGGTTGCAAAGCGACGAATTTCTTTTAATTGAATTTAGACCGTATTCTAAACGCACAGAGTCTAACTATTACGTATTAAAACCAAAACCAAATATATAAATCATAGATTTGTATCAAAATTACCAAACTCTTGGACGAAAAATATTGGTACTTTGTTAGTTACATTTTGTGAGTGAAGTGACGCTTGAGTGGATTTAACGAGGTGATAAAATATGCCGTGAGTATTGAATTTTATTGAATTTTGCTAGTATTTATATATCAAATTAATGTCTTATTAGTGTTTTCCTGTATTAAAGTAATATTTTTGCAAATACTGTATGAAAAATGTGATAAAGTCGACTTTTAAAATACTCAGAATGACTCGAATCTAAACATAATTTTCTATAGCTTACATTATCGTAATTTTGTTGTATTCTTTAATTACGAAATACTCGTAGTAGTATTTGAATATAATTATTTAATTTAAGTAATAAAGTTTTATAAGTTGTTCATCATATTATAATATAAGTTTTTATGTAATAACAGCCTAGATTGTAACTAACAAATAGCAATCAATTGCGCAATCCGTGAATTCTTCATCAGGTTTCACTTAATATTTTTACTATGTATTTAAATATAAATCGTTTTATAATATAGATAAATATATCAAGTAATTCATTAAGTTTAAGTATATAATAAATAATCATACACTTATCGATCTTATTTTTTTGATAAACCCGATGTTTTACAAAAAGTCGCTAAAATGTCTTGTACTTGTGATTTCAACACGTCTAAAATATTATTGTAATCACATTTTGATAGAATAACATACGTATTTTCTTTTCTTATTTCAATGGCTATTCATAAAATTTAAAATATTTGAAGTGCTCCTCTCGAGTAAGTCATAAATTAAGTTTTATCGACGGCGGGTCGAACGTGAGAAACACAGTCCTGACGTACTGGCAAACTAAGCTACCCTTTTTTTGTTCGCAAGCAATCGAGACGTTATGCTTGCTTGCATTTAAGTTTATTTGATTATATTTAGTAACTTAGGTAAAAAACTTGTGTAAGTGATTAATGTACTTGACATGAACATTGAACGGAGTATTTACCCATATACGGACGTAAGAATATCCTAAAATATTCACACTAAGTTTTATTTGACGTCCACTTCTTCGATATCCGATGTCCTGGTTGATTATTGCATTTTACTATTTATTTACGTTGATTATTTATTTAGTGCTCAAGGCATATTTTGGTATTTTTGTCGGTTTATACTGTACTCTCAGCGCTATTAGATAATTTTACTTTCCAATTTGTTTTCGTGTCCTTAGATTTAGCTACATATAATAATATGGACGTCCGAATATCCTAAAACATTCATACTGAATGATATTTGACGTCCATATTTTTGAATTTTGTTATATTTCTATATAATGTGGGCGTCAGATTATCGGTAAAGTTTAATACCGCACGGTATTTGACGTCCATATAACCATGAATATATTATTTAGAGCCGTGGTAGCTCAGATGGTTAACGCTCGCTGTAAATATAACAGAATGCGAGTAACCCGGGTTCGATCCCCGCCGGCACCAATGAAATTGTTAAATACAATTTTAAGTGCTGATTTACCACGTGCTCGGCGGTGAAGGAAAACATCGTGAGGAAACCTGCATGTCTGAGGAATAAGAAAAAAATATTTCGAAGACATATGAAGTTCGCCAACACGCATGGGGGCAGCGCGGCGGACACTTCCTTGCCCTAAAACCCTCTCAGAAATGAGGGGAGGCCTGTGCCCAGCAGTGGGACGTATATAGGCTGTAACTTTACATTAAAAAAAATTTATATTTATATTTTAATTCCTTGTGTATAAGACACACATTAATGACCATTGCTTTAATGACATTTTTCGCTATTGTTTTATTCGTATTTTAGTGAAGGGAGGCCATGCGGTGTAAAATAGTCACTTTGGTGTTTTATAAAATATTTCGTTCTAAAAATGATAAAACGCTTAGAAGCTTAGAAAACGTGTGTGAAAAATTAAATTTTATTTCAACTAACTGCAAAACCAAACATAATGTCATAATTTAACAAAAATATCATTTCACAAAAATGAATTTAGTTAAGTAGAGAGTAATTTCGTACAGATTAGGTACAATAGTCGCACTCATCTTACGATGCAGTGAGAGCACCAAAACTCAACACAATCAAGTTAATAAATTATATTTTCGGAGTTATGTCAGTAACAATATGCCACGGTCTATTGTAGAAATTAACAACCTATTGGCAGTTAATGCAGTAAAACCTTATATTAAAATGAGTTTCTTCGCCAGACCATATTAGGTTATTAGTCAGAGGTTATTAGTCACAATATAATAAAACAAACTTCTATGAAACCTGTCAATATCTACAATTGAGTCCATCTTCCTGTATTCAATCAGAGAGTAACTTATATACTGAAACAAAATTATGGGTTGCTTACGAAATACCTAACAAGAGTTCGTTTAGGCAGATTAGTACCAAATGTAAAATGTTAAAGTATAGTGCAGCATGAAATAAACCGATAAGCCGACATCCGTATCTAAATTTATAAAAATATAACTGAATTCAAAAATATGGGTGTCAAATATCATTCAGTATGAAACTTTTAGGATATTCGGACGTCTATATTATGTGTAGGTAAATGTAAGGTTAAGAAAACAAGTTTAAAATTAAAATTACTAGTAGGTACCAAGCGCAGTATAAACCATATAATAATGTCCTGCAGATCGAATTATGGTCACGGCGGCCTGCCTCAACGGAGACTAGCCATCGGCACAGGACAGGATTATAGTGCCCAAGTGTATGCGCAAGCACAGGTGCACTCTATTCCCTCACTCTCATAATCCGATAGGACGGTAAACCGACACGACCGGAGAGAGATCAGGCGCAGAAGCAACGGCTTTACGTGCTATCCGAGGCACGTGGGTTAGACACCGCCAACTTCCTGACTCTGGGCAGCTATTGAGAATTTCTTGACAGAAAAACTCAATAGTAGATTTTTTGGCCCGACCCGGGATTCGAACCCAGGACCTCATGATCAGCAGTCGCACTACTACAACCACTAGACCAACGAGGCAGTCATTACCATATATCACCAAATACAAGTAACACGTTGGCAACGGTGACGGAACGGCAACGTCGCATCTCCTAATTTTGTGCGGAAGTCAAATACGGCCATAAATGAAAGTATTCACAAATCGACAGCAGCGCTATTATTTTTACAGTATATTATATTACAGTACAGTACAGCAAGATTGGAAGAAAAATGACGTCCAATTTTTTTTTTAGATTTTGACATTTCTGTGATCAGCATGACAATTTGCGAACATTGCGCTAAGTCTCCTATTTGACGTCCGTATATTGGACGTCGTAAGCAGGTTGACGCCACATTATATGCAAAATTGGCCATAGTGGACGTAGTGAATTTAATACAACCAAGCATATACTGCAGAGAAGGGGTATGTTCCAAAATAGAACCCAGTGTACTGTCCAATGCAAATGACGTCATGAATCGACGCTATACTGGTGATTCGTTCCAAAACATAGGACAGTTATGACATCATACATTTACGCCATATTGGAAAAATGTTGGCGATTATTTTGTCATTTTGTGCAATAATTCTATAATTTTTTGTTTTTGAATAAATAAAAACAAATTCTGGCATGCTTCATTCAGCGCACACACAATTAAAAATTGTTTTATTAAGGCCATATATCCGACACAATACGGCGGCGGCACGCCAGTACAATATAGTGTCAATTGATGACGTCATTTGCATTTGCCAGTGTACTGGGTTGTATTTCGGAACATAACACAAAATTTAACAAAAAACATGCCTAGCGCATACGTACCGGCCCGCTCGTCCGCGGTGTGGTTCTTGTCGTGCGCGGCCAGCTCGGCCTCGTCCTCGAAGCACTTCCTGCACACCTCGCACCGCACCGTCATCGAGCCGCGGTGCGCTTCCGCCCTGGAACCACCATTACAAATTTCTGTGTACTCACTTCACTTACAATAATCTTTACTACAGCTACAAAGCCCTTGTAAACCGGACATTATGTCCGGTTTCCACGGGCTTCGTATCGAAGTGCTTAGTACTTGTCACTATACTAAGCCTCAATATGACAAGTGAAAAGTAACCGTTTACACGTTAGAGCCAGTAAAAGTTATTAGCGACCAGACATTCGAAATGGAGCGACGCCGCCTGATTTTGCGCAGTGTGTTTAAGCAATATTCAAACATTATTATTTCAAGCATGATCGAAGAGCTTGAAAGACAAATATTAAAAAGAAAACGTTTGTGGACAAGACAGTGGTTACTGCGCAGAGATGAACGGGGCCATTCTGCTCTTCTATTAAAAGAACTAGCAACCGAAGATCCAGGAGAATATAGAGCAACTATGAGAATGTCAACAGCACAATTAGATATTTTATTTTCACTTCCCGGTACAACATGTCACTAACTTGTCGAGTCGAGTAGACCGTGGTTTTAAGTTAAAACCACGGTATACTCGATAGACTGAGAACACTTAAATAATACAATTTAACTTCTTGAGTAGACCAAGTACGCAGAGTTCAGGGTCTATTCAATAAGCCGTAAGTTCAACTTCACATACCCAATTTATTCAGTAAAACTGGCAGTGGCACTATGATGTACTCAATAGACCGTTTAGTCTACTCAATAGACCATACGGTCTACTCAGTAGACCACTCGGTCTATTCGGAGTACGAGGCGGGGCGCACTGACCTGTGTTCCCAGAGCTTGTCACGGCGGCTGAAGGTCTCGCTGCAGCAGTCGCACTCGTAGCGTTCTGAAGTACGGGTGCGAGAACGTGAGTTGCCGCCGCCCTTGTTCTGGTGCACGCGGCGATGGATCCTGACAAAACAAACGGACAGATTGTATGTTATTTGCGAAAGTGTGGTCACACTGAGAGCTATAGCATTGTAAACAGCAAAAAGGATGTCTGGAAGAAATCGCTTTCACAGCGTTAAGTCAACCTGTTGTACCTTCTATACTGGACGACCTTTTTTACCGTCTGGAAGAAAAAATAGGGTGTAAAATGTGAAACAAGTAGTAGAAGCCTGATAGCACCGATATTTTACAAAAGATAAAAACATAAAATTTTGAATGAAATAATTAAGTTATAAATAGATAGAAATAATCTATCGAAATTCAAATCATATCCAGGGTGGATATGATTTCCCCCCCGAACGGGTTCCCGCCTTGTCGTGGCGGGGGGCTTAGAAGCCGTGGCTTGGTCACCCACGGCGAAACAAAGAGGAACCCATTTGGCTGGTCCGAGGTGGAGGGCCGGCCCGAGGTGGCCACTCCGAGTGGGCTTGGTAAGCCCACTTTGGATGTGTGTTGGTGGACTGCGGTGAGAGGTGTGTCCTCCCCACCTACCGCTGCAGCCGAGGTGGAGTCGCGGAGGAAGAGGAGTGTTGGTATGGCGATGCGCCACTCGCCCTATCCTCCGCGACTCAAACGGGGCCACACCGTTGATGCGGTGGTGATGGGGCTGCGGGGGGAGAGGATTGTCGGTATTGCGAGGCGCCGCTCTCTCTATCCTCCGCAGCCGAATCTTGGTTGGCGGCGGAGCCATAGACCAGATCCGCCGCTGGGGTCGGGAAGGCTAGTACTTCTAAGTGCTCGTTTTTCCTGGCCCCATGGCCTTTGCGCATCAGACGCGGGGGCGTCTGTTGCGCAGATGTAATTGGAGGCCGTGGAGGAAGGCGTGCCATGTGTTCTGGTGCGCCTTACTTGGGAAGGATAACGGGGAGGAATATTCCTCTCCCGAGGAGGTGCTGCCACGGGGCGGCAGTCGCTGGTGGGGCCGCGGATGTGTGCGAAAGCGTTCCCGTAGCTCTGCCAATATGCGACGAAGATGGAACACCATGGGGTTTTAGTCGGTGCGAGTCCGACATAACCCGTCCTTGCCCCCGCGAGGCGGGTATGCGTAGGCATTTCCCCATGTTAAAAAAAAAAAAAAAAAAAAAGGTGGACATGATTTGAATTTCGATAGATTTTAATTTGACGAATAAAAACTTTACGAACGGCAACATAACAATAACTTTAGTAGGCATCTTTGACCTTGTCACTTCGCAGGGTAATTAACTTAGTTTTGTTTAGATTTATACATATAATAAATCTATAGAATATGAAATAATTATTTGTTCACGATTCACATAAAAACTACTGTACCGATTCTCATGAAATTTGGTGTGTACGCAGTAAATGATGACGTATAACATATAGGCATATTTTTATCCGCTTACGGAAGACTAAAAAAGAAGGGTTGTTTTTCTTTTTTTTTTAATTTTTTATTAAAATGGTTGTGGTGATCTATAAAAAGTGTTTGTGTGATGATTCATTAATTGGTTATATCAGATAAAATCAAGTTAAAGTATATATATATATATCGGAATGTCGGAAACGGTTCCAACGATTTTCATATTCATAATTTAGTGTCCAGGGGGTTTCAGGGGCAATAAATCGATCTAGCTAGGATTCATTTTTAGTAAATGTCGTTTTATCCGTGTTTTCAGGCAATTAAAACCTGCTACAATATAAAAAGGTAAATTTTGGCATTGTGTTTGTTAATGATTAGAATAGCTTAAATGGGATATCGGGTGGTCCCGATATCCCATTTACGACCCCGTACGAGTCCTGTCTTTAGTCCGCCTTTGTTTCCTTTTTTTTTTCAAGTTCCCTTCTTTTGTGAGAAAATCTATTTATTCGAGCCTTTTTTTTAGTATTTTTTAAAAACACGAGAATTTAAATCTTAACTAATTGCACTCATGATTTTTTATTCAAATAACCAGTTCAGTTTTTTCTATTATGTCCGTAAGATAAAAAATATTATTTATATTTAATCAGTATGTAATTTGTATCTAAATATAATTTGCAAAACACAAGATTTCCAAAAAAATACCGAGCAAAGCTCGGTCATCTAGGTACTTTAAATTTAAGATAAATAATTATTTGTTTTATTACTTTTTCATTATTTTTTTTAATGTTCAAGCCTAGACCACTCCTAGCATTGCTGTCCATCTGTTTTAAGTTTCATAACTGTGGTATATGTATAATTAAATGTAGTACACAGACCAGCGGTGGTGCCTCACTGTGGCGAGCGGACGTCTACTTACTGATAGTTGGTGGTTTTACTAAAACCCCAGACTTTAATTAGTGGACACCACAACAATCGGTTGAGCCATCCCAAACATTATTAGCCTGAATAGAACAGATGGACAAAACTTTTAATAACCGGCTAAATACGAGTCGAGACATGAAGGGCTCCCGTACCATCGTAAAACACGTTTCTAGTATGGGAGCCGCCCTTGATTTATTTTTATTATTTGTCGTTATAGCGGCAACGGTAATACACATTCTGTAAAAAAATTCAACTATATAACTCGTACGAATTAACTTGAGACCTGGGCCGATGACGTAATTGTCAATGTACGGTGTGCAAAATAATGCGTCATAATATTTTTTTTATTCGAAATTTTTGAGATTTGCATGAGATTATTAATAAAAACAAAATAAAATGTTCTGGCAAGGGGTGAAGTAACAAGTGATATACTGTTGCCATTTTTATATATTTTAAATATTTATTTTTTATAATATATATAATATTATTTTTAGTTAACGCGTCAAGGAAGGAAAGACATACACACTTTCTCATTTATAATATTATTAATTTATTTATTATACACCCTCGTTTATGTATTATACAGCCTCGTTTTTCATTCTTAGTAGTGTTGCCTTTGATATGCCTGTTGCTGCACAAGCCCTCTTTAAAGCTTGGTCCACAGGAATAAGAAACTTTTTATTTCATTTTTCATCTTCGAAAAATTTTAAAACTTTTAGAGCAAGTGTCCGTGCTTGGCTATGTATTGTCTTTCCTCCCATCTTTTTTTAAAAATAAAAAAGGCGGAGTAACTCCTAAGCGTCACAAGAAAACGGCACAACAAAACGGCACAACAAAACGTCCAAACTTAACAATAAAACAACGCAATTAACAACAAACAGATAAAATAACGTTCAAGTATAACAAAAACAAACAAAAGTCCAAACCAAACAACAAACAATTATCAAAAATATCGAACTAGAGTCGAGACGCGTATCCGTAACAAAAATGCTATCGGTACTGAGCGCACGGCCAGCGCGGGACGCGGTGCGGGGAGTCGGGAAGGGGGTCGCATTCCAGCGGAGTCTCAAGTTAATTCGTACGTGTTGTAACTATTACGGATTATGAGCTACAGACGGACGGGCGGGCGAGTGCACGAACAGCGGAGGCTTAGTATAATAGGGTCCCGTTGGTTACCCTTCGGGTACGGGAACCCTAAAAAAGATTGTTCCTGTCTTAGTAGCTAAAAACCCCAGAGATGAAAAGAAGCCAGTTATTATGATATTGCATTGCGGAAGGACCACTTCAATTTTATTTTAAAATGGGCAACAAAACAAATCGACTTGAATTATTATCAGATCCACCACGGTGGACTATGAGACTGCATTCACACACGTGCACTATAATGCTGTCATGCGGAGATGTCTGATCTCCTTTCTGTCATCTTTCTCCGATAAAACCACGACAACTCAGTTAACTGTTTAACCACTATGTTCGTTGTTTAATTTCACTCTTAAATTGTATATTTAATTGTATTTATCTAACATTTCAAACCGGCCGCCGTAGCCGAAATTTGGTCTGGGTAACAAGATGTTATTGCAAACAGAAAGTCGTTTTTAACAGCATGCAAATATATGTTGTATATTTGTGAAAGTCGTGGCAGCTCATGGGGTTAGCGCTCACTGTAAATTTTACAGTACTCGAGCAAACCGGGTTCGATCCCTGCCGGCACTAATGAAATTGTTAAATGCAATTTTAAGTGCTGATTTATCACGTGTTCGATGGTGAAGGAAACATCGTGAGGAAATCTGAATGTCTGAGAAATAAAAAAAAATATTTCAAAGACATGTGAAGTTCGTCAACACGCATTGGGGCAGCGCGGCGGACTATTCCTTGCACTATAACCAGTGTTGCCATTTCAGCGCATTTGGCTCTAGATCTGGCGCAAGTCTAGGGTCTCTAGCGCTTTTTTTTAAATAAAGATATTAATTAATTTGCAACCTTCCGCTAACTAAATACAATAATGTGTCTTACATGGATTGAAGAGCACCTCCCGCCCTCCCTCAATTGCGTACATTAACTCCGTCACCACTAGTCCCAGCACCATTACTCCCAACACCACTATTCCAGGTGATACACACCATCGACGATAATACGACACGTGTTTCGCCTCTACACGAGGCATTCTCAGGTAATGTAGACTCTACGCGACTGACCGCTAAATACTTAACTGAGGATGCCTCGTGTAGAAGCGAAACACGTGTGGTATTATCGTCGATGGTGTGTCTTACCTGGAATAGTGGTGTTGGAAGTAGTGGTGGTGGGACTAGTGGTGACGGAGTTAATGCACGCAATTGAGGGAGGGCGGGAGGTGCTCTTCAATCCAAGTAAGATACATCATTGTATTTAGTTAGCGGAAGGTTGCAAATTAATCAATATCTTTATTATAATGGATTTCCGCAAAGTAACGCCTGATTCTATCACTTTTTTTTTAAATATCTGCGTGCTAATAAGGATCTCCTAGGTGTGCGTTGTTTGCAGTATCAGTGGCTGTAAATGACAGCCGGTACGACATACTCCGCCGAACGTTGAGTCCCGTGATTCCGTGAGGCGTCGAGGTCACCGGCCCCTAGGTGATTCTTGGGCACTTTATGCGCTCCGAGCATCCTGTGCCTAGTCGCGTCGTAAAGTGCCACCGTCGCACTTCCCCCAACCCTTTTGTTGTCAAAAGGGGTAGGCAGTGCCC